ATTTTTATTATAAAAAAAAAAAAAAAAAAATAATAGTAAAAGAAGAAATTAACAATAATAATAAAAGCAAGAAGTCCAAAAAGAAAAAGAAAATCATTATACAGTGTAAAACATAAAAAACTAAACTAATAATAATAATATAGAATTTGTATTTTCCATCAAACAAAGTAAATTGTGACATTTGCGAAAAAGACATAACAAAATAAGTAAAGATATTTTGCCAACAATCCAACATGGATATTTGCGTAAACTGTTTTTCTGATGGTGTATAATCTGGAGAACATAAAATAACTGATGACTATAATATTATAAATAAACTAAATTACCCTCTAATAACCGAAGATTGGAGTTGTGAAGAAGAACTCCTTTTATTCGAAGGATTAGAAAGATTTGGATTTGGAAATTGGGCAGATTTATCGGATCATATAGGAAGTGATAAAACAAAAGACGAAATAGAAAAACATTATGAATAATATCATTTAGATTAATAAAACAAATAATTTTATCCTGTAATTTTTTTTATTTAATTAGAATGTTTTTATAATAAAAAAAAAAAAAAAAAAAAAAAAACCAAAAACAAAATAAAAAGTAAAAAATATAAAATTTTTAACAAGAAGAGATGAAAAAACGTTAGACTTAATAATTGAAAGTAATAATAGAAATATGGTATTAAGGTTCTAGTCTAGAAAAAGAAACTAAAGATTCATTGAAAAGTAAAATATGATCCCTACAACATCAAATGCCCGAACTTTAAAGGTTTTGTCAAATAATAATTAAAATATTAACTAAAATGCATAAGATATAGTCGGTTATATGCCTTTGAGAGGTGATTTTGATATTGAATATGATAATGATGCGGAACTTTTACTTGCCGAAATGGAATTTAATGATGATGATACTTAAAATGATTTGGAGATGAAATTTAAAATATTGGAAATTTATAATGCAAGACTAGATGAGAGAATTAAGAGGAAAAAATTTGTTATAGAAAGGGGTTTATTAGATTTAAAGTTAAATAATTATAATAAAAAAAAATTTAATAAAATAATTTCTTATATTTTTGTTTTGTTATAGTAAATAAAATCATTTAGATAAAGAAAGAACAAAAGAAGAGAAAGAAATTTATAATATGATGAAGGTTTTTAGTAGATTTAATACACCCGAAGAACATGAAAAACTAGTATAAGGCATTATTAAGGAAAAATAAATAAGATAAAGAATCGAAGAATTAAAAAGTTTCAGAAAAATCGGCTTAAAAAGTTATTAGGAAGTCGAGAATTTTGAAAAAAAAATGGTAAGAAAATTGTAATTTTTTATCTTTTTTTTTTTTTTTTTTTTCTCATATTAATATATAAATTCATTATTTTTTTTTTTTTTAATAACAAACAAAAAAATAGAAGATAATCATAAAAATAATGTAGTTTAAAAATAAGATTTTAAAAAATAATAAAATTATGGCAATTTAACAAAATAGGTTTCGTATATATGTATATATATATTTATTTATTCGTTTTTAATAGGAAATTCAATTGTGTTTGGATATAAATCTTGATATTAATGAATATATTGTCATTAGAGAAGTTTTAATTAGAGAAAACATATAATAAAAAGCTATTACTAAAGATATGGCTTAATAAAAATAAATTTAGGTACTTTTTGTTTTTTATTTATTTAGAAAATAAAAAAAAAAGATAAAGAAAGACTATATATTATATTTGATTGGTTATAATAAAAGAAAT